TGTTTCAAGGCGCTTTATATTTTACTCGCTCAAGTTCACTCACGGTTACAATTCAAACAAGTCTATGCTAATTATGATATAGAGGTTCATTTGTATAGTTGACTCCGGGCCAACTTAAGCTTTATCAACATTATTGAATGCAAATATTTTCACATTGTACTGATTTGTTATACAATATCCCCGAGGTAGATGGAGTACAGATTGGTCTAGGTGTAATCTGAACAATACACAGATAATCTGTTCTTTAACACAGGCCACCTACTGTCCTCAGCCTTCAATATTTTCCCTTAAAATCCCAGTACCCTGCTGGGTTTGTTGTAGCATTCTTTAGTTCTTGCCAAGATAACGGTATGTTGCTCCAGCAGACACCCAGATACCTCTCCCCAGATCAGCAGACATCCACCAGACGTTAACCTCCATGGCAGACATCCACGACGAAAGTTGATGAGCATCATGTCGGCAGCCACTGAATCAATTTCTACATCCTCGGGTGGACTGGTGCGTGGACGAAGTCGGGAATGTGAGTGTCTTTAATTTTGTAAGTACCAAAACACACGGAGCTGGTGTATCCAGTTAACATTGATTTTACGAGAGCAGTAGAATTAACTTCATCTTACAACACGAGCGCATACAACCATGTGGGTCAGGTCTGTGTTTACCATTCCCCCGTCAGAGTATGGGTATGTTTATCCAAGGGGCTACCTAACGATTTATCGATGTAGATAATATTAAACCCCATGAATGTCCCAACACGGCGAACGTGGCTTAGTTTGGCAGGGATATTGACAACATCAGCGGCTGAACTGTTTACCTCTCAGTGTTCTTAAAACACATTAGTTTTACGACCAAAACGGGTAACATACATTGTAGACTGACATGCTATCTAAAAGAGTCCACGTTTCTTCCGTCTAAAGAGCATTGATATTTCTTTGGGTTTTTTTAAATGGTAATAGTAAACATAGCTTTATAGTGATTTGTTCAAGTTGGCTGAACGATCACAAGGGATCAAGGGAACAACCTCCAAATGCGTAGGATTGTCATTATCGTCATAATTTTTCTCGCCCACATAAAACAGCACTTATCCCTACTTACTCTGCTGATACTGGAAGTACAAACCCCATATTCATAAGACATGTCTAGCAAAAGCAGAGTACCGTGCGAATCCGAGTATGTTATGAACAGGTGTTTATGAATCCCTATCAATTATTAAACCCTACTTTTCAGTAATGATTAATCAGTAATTTGTTTTCACGACCATTGGTGCAGTAATTGCCCCTATTATTTATATTCTGTCTCTATGAACACACTGTAGATAAATCGATGTAGTTCAAAGACGTGGGAGGTGTTTGTACCTGTCCTTGAAAGCGTCAATACCTGTAGGATATTAATATTCGTATCATATTTATATTGGAATGCAAACAAACCCCCAACTTCGATCGGGAGGCTCTCAACAATTATCTTGCTGCCATCCGCCTCGTGCAACAGTGAGCGAAGCAGGCCCGGGCTAAGACCTTCAGGACCTTGGCCCAAACTGGCAATGTCAGCGATGACACGCCAGAGGTCCGAATGCTCTAACCTGGTAATATCATGTTAAACATTAAAAGCACCTTAGCACATATAATATTTAAGATTGTTCTGTATACCCCAATAATTCAATAACTTTCTGTTTTAACTGAGAAGACATTCAAACGTGTCTCCTGGTAATAGAGTTGAGTATCAGTCATACAGATGAAACACTGACAAGGCCGCACTGACAACTCTCACCCCATCAGTCATTCAGACAATAATATTTTGTTGCAACATAAAACGTCACGCTTTTGTTTCTTGACGTTTCTAGCACCTGTGTCAATCGGAAACTGTTTCGTCCATGTGTACCGCAGTCATGTCGTGTAATACGTATCAACACGTTTTTGCCACCCTTAAGTTTGTGTGTGATCTGAAGACGCAGTTAAAGTTTCAATCTGAGGATGAATAATTACTTAACGGCAATCCTTTTAGTCATTCCCATTTGACTGCCGTTCCTATGTCTTCCGTAATTAAAGCTTGTCTCGAGCGCGTTTAAGACCAATGTTACGGGGATCTCAATGGCTTTGATGGTGATAATACTTCATTCTAATCGAATTACTGCCTTTTTCAGATCGAAGTAAGATCATTACCAAGTCCGGTGATGTTTAGGGATTTTATTGATTTCCGAAACCTGAACAGTTCTCATTTCTTCTTGATAGTCGTAAGAAACGTAGGAAGCACAATGCGCTCCTCCCGACATTTAAAATGTATTAACATTTCCGTGCGTGGCCTGTTCGCAAGAATACGAGATGGAGAGTTACGAATATCAAATTCCATAGACAATAGGCATCTCGGTATCTTCGTTGTAAATGTCTCTCGAGATTATGTCGTTATTATTAACAAGCTTTACAATTGGAGGTGACGTCGGTGAAGAGGATGCGATATATTGATATGTCATGTAAATCGTCTGTCTGGGGATAGTTGTCCTTGTTAATGAATGGATGTCGTGAACATTTCTCGGTAGACACTATCTGGCACATCTTCGACTGTCCAATGTATCATATTCCCGTAGTTCTTTGAGTGGGTGAGTAAGTGAGTATGGTTTTACGCCGCTTTTAGTGTTATTCCAGCAATGTTTTGGCGGGGGACACCAGAAATGGGCTTCATGCATTGCACCCATCTAAGAAATCGAACCCGGGTCTTCGGCGTGACGAACAAACGCCATAACCACTAGGCTACCCCCACCGCCCAGTAGTTGTTTGAGACATGTTGTATTTAACAATTGTAACGGAAAGGTTTAGGACTTTCGGTAATAAATAGTTTTACCCTGACTAAAGGACTGGTATATGGAGATATTAAGAAACAAATAGTATTTTGATGAAATAGTCATCTCATGCATATTCCGAATTAGTGGTAACCTATAATCTCTCACATGCTAGATTATCATATTTAATGGCCGTTTGCCTTTAAATGCAATAGACATTTTCATTTGAATTTTATGGTCAATAGCCGGGAAAATTCGCTTCCAAAGATTCGTTTTCAAATTGTATAAAAACAAGACGTTTAACACAGCTGAGCACCCACAATACACTTAAGACGGAAAGAAATTCTGTTTGCGATAAGAGAGTGAGATGGCGACGTGTGTTGGGTAGCGATTTTTCTATATATAACGGCATGGGAATATACCCGGACAAGCGAGGATGGGTCAGCCTTTGACAAGTTTTGTTCGGGGAAACCTGTTCCTTAGATTTAACGTTGTCATATTGCATAATTACACCAAAGTCTAGTTAATCTCTAAGATGATTTGGTCATTAAGTGGCATCATTCACCTGATGAAGGAGTAATGATATACTCCGAAACGTTGTGTTCCTGTTGAAGGAGTAATGATATACTCCGAAACGTTGTGTTCCTGTTGAAGGAGTAATGATATACTCCGAAACGTTGTGTTCCTGTTGAAGGAGTAATGATATACTCCGAAACGTTGTGTTCCTGTTGAAGGAGTAATGATATACTCCGAAACGTTGTGTTCCTGTTGAAGGAGTAATGATATACTCCGAAACGTTGTGTTCCTGTTGAAGGAGTAATGATATACTCCGAAACGTTGTGTTCCCGAAACGTTGTGTTCCTGTTGAAGGAGTAATGATATACTCCGAAACGTTGTGTTCCTGTTGAAGGAGTAATGATATACTTCGAAACGTTGTGTTCCTGATGAAGGAGTAATGATATACTCCGAAACGTTGTGTTCCTGTTGATGGAGTAATGATATACTCCGAAACGTTATGTTCCTGTTGAAGGAGTAATGATATACTTCGAAACGTTGTGTTCCTGATGAAGGAGTAATGATATACTCCGAAACGTTGTGTTCCTGTTGAAGGAGTAATGATATACTTCGAAACGTTGTGTTCCTGATGAAGGAGTAATGATATACTCCGAAACGTTGTGTTCCTCATAATAAAGAAGTTGACATCCAAAAAACTCTCTTCAACAAAACGGGAAGAACATACGACAAATGGCGGGATACAAATGGAATGTTTCAGAAATGTTTTCAGGCTGAAAAACGAGTATTTCATATTTACACCTTCAAGACCTCCCTCCGAAAAATCAGTCTTGAACCTCGTACGTACCAACTCTGACCTTTATCTAACACAATTACAAGATAACATTACCATAATCCTACCAAAAATGTTACGCGAATCAACACAATACATCCTTTCAGTTGAAACACTAACAGCCTGTTTCCATGCTATCGCAATTGCTGTGACCTTTCCTTGAGCAGGACCCTTAACAGAATTTTATGGTGAATACGAGTGGTCGATGACGTCATGTGGAGTGCACTGGCTCATTTTGTCTCTATCAAGGAACTCTCTGCATCAGCAGGCATTGGTGTTGCATTGAATCAGGCATAGGCGTAGGAACAGTTTAAAAGTTGGGGGGGCAAGATTTCGAAATTGATAACGGGGGTGGGGGGGTGGGGGGTGGGGTGGAGAGGAGATATATGAAAAGGACAGACGAGTTCACTTGAAACTTTAATTAATAGCAAATGCATTACATTATTCAGGTAACACTAGATCGACTGTTTATACAGGCTAGTGCATCTCGCGAAATGTTCAGCTCTTATGAGAAAAGTCCAAAGTAGTTGCGTCTTCTGTCATTGAAAGAAATGAACTCCCGGGCAACATCCACTAGAGATAGTTCATCAGCAATGGTTTTGTGGACATGCAGTAGCAGAACGTTGTTCAGACGTTCCTGTGTCATTGTAGATCTGACGTATGACTTCAGGCGTCGAAGCGTGGAGAAGGTACGTTCTGATGTTGCTGTGGTGACAGGAATAGTCAAGTAGATCTTCAAAGGGTGCTTATCTCCTTGAACAGGTGCCTTATTACAGGCGATGAGTTGATAATTGATACAACAGTATCAATATTTGTGACTTCAGTGATTAAGCATCCTCTTTCAGTGGAGACAGATTTCACTGTGTCATGAAGCATGGAAAGCTGTCAGTTCAATCGAACAAAGTCAACATCATCTTTGTAGAGTTCTCTGATGTGAGAAGATATTTGAAAGTTCCGTCCATTTGCAGCAGACAGCAACAGTTGCTCTATCTCCACAGCAGTTTCAAATCCTTTCTGTGAGAATCTCCGCTTTAGTTGCTCTGAAACCATGCCTAGACCTTCAAAATATTGTTGGCGACAATAATCTTCCACAGAAGGAAACGTGTGAGTATTAGATCCATCATCCAAGCTCGTGGGCCTCTTCCGGTAGCGTGGTAGACGTGGAGGATCAGTTTTGTCTTCAGCTTCATCAACAACAGACTTGTAGAACTCTGAAAAAGTATCTGTACTCCTCAGCTTATCATAATACGCCAGTACTTGCTCTGCTCCCTTTCGTGCGTCCTTTGCCGTTGTTTCTACGCTTTGAATGGAGGAAGACAATTGCCCTGATGCACCAAAAATTTGGGAAGAAACTTTCAGCCCAAAAGGCACACTAAACTGGTCAAACTGTGAAAGTAAACCACCTGCAATCCTGGCATTCTCATCGTGACCCTTATTGATTTCTTCAAATGCTTTTCGAAGAGTATCAAAGTTCTCCAAAACAGAGTTGATAGATCCTGTTCTAACTCTCCAACGTGTTGGACACAGAGGTCGTAAGCCACGAGTTCTTTCAGTTTGAGGCACATCCATGTCAAGACGCTTCTCAATGGATGGAGCTTTTTGAAGATTCTTGAATAGGTGTTCTCGTTTTGGAGAATATTTAATGAGCTTGTTCACTTCAATTGTGATGTCAAGAGCATCCCTGAGAGGTTTGCATGCTCTAGTGGCTTCTTGCAAAGCCAAGTTGATACAGTGGGCCAGGCAATGGACATGAACTGCTCGTGGTTCTTCTCCTTGCAGTTGGACAGCAACTCCATTGACATGGCCTTGAAAATTACTTGCACTATCATAGCCTTGACCTCGGCAATTCGATAGTGGTAAGTCACAACGGATAAGTGTGTCTTTTAGTACTTCTGTTAGTGTTGCTGATGTTGTGGAAGGAACCTCATATAGGCCAATAGCATCCTCATTGACACTGAAATCATTATCCACCCAACGGATACATATGACAACTTGTTCTTTGTTTGATGTCTCTTGTTTCATCCGCCATAACGGCAAAGAACCTGGCAGCTTTGATTCTCTCAAGAATCTTCAGTCGCACAGCTCGGCCCAGGAGCATCGATTGCTCATTCACAATTGTAGGTGACATATATGTTTTCTCAGATAACCATGTTGGCAACCCCTCTATGTTAGAACCTCTCAGGTTTCGTCTGCACTGCTGTTCCTTGGTAACTTTTGCCAGAAGTAAACTTGTGACACTGTCATTACCATGTTTCTTGTGTTTTGCAAGGGCATCTCTGTGATACGAACTCTTATCATGCTTTTTGAACTTATCTCCAGACTTTTTCCAATTGTTGAAACCTTTTGATATGAATGTTGCTTCAGGTTGTCTGGAGGTAGGATGCTTCTGCAGATCACTGTCCTTACCGTAAGCCAGTCTGCAATAAAAGCAGAAAACTTTGTTTTTTGTTGTACACAGAGTAAGCCAAGGATATTCATGAAACCATGAGAACGAGAATGATCTCCCAGGTTTCGTAGTTGTCTTTTTCAAGGTTGATGCAGCATTTGGCTGATAAGGTTCACTAATTTCAGAACAAGGTGAATTGCACACATGTTGACGTTCATCTTCATCACTGCCGGGTGATGATTGGAGCTCAGATGTCAGAGAACTCTCCATTGAAACATCCTTACTCTTGCTTTCACTGATGATGTCTGGAACTGGGTTTATATGAGACTGAGAGTCTTGAGGCCGGAGAAATTCTGATGGTTTTGTCTCACTTTGAGATTGCTTCTTGCTCTGAACTGAAAACATAAAATCCAACGTCCTCTGTTTCTTTTGTTTCTTTTTTTGGTCACTTTCTGCCAAGTCAGCATCAACATGTTTTTTCGCAGTATCCAAACAAGCAACAAAATGATTTGATGACCAGTTCTTAGTATTTGTGTTTGTGCAATGTGTCCACATGATGCAGACAGGTTCCTCCTCCGCATCATTCAGAGGGTGTATTGTTTGATCAAGTATTATGTCTGTTTGTAGCCACATTTTGGATTTTGGGATAGATAAATTGAACTGGTCGTTTCAGAACACTTGGCAAACTAAACATGTGTAAAACTGATGAATATTCTCCATTTCTTTTTGTTTTCATCACTAAATGTCTGTAACGCTGCATGTTGTCACCCTCTGCAGACTGACTTTCGGATGACGTCAAAATATACTGTAACAGTGATCCGTTACCTTTTGCTTCAGAAACACTTGTCAGTTTTGATTCATTTAAGTAATGTTCTTCATTGATGATAAGATCAAAAACACCTCTCACTCGAAGTTCAGTATAATAATCTTCAAAACCAAAGCAGAGTTGAGAGGCTGACCTCCAAAAACAGTTTCCATCTCCATAACATCTGACTTGGGTAAGATGTGTAGGAGCATCATCTGGATATAACATTCTAGCAACATGATCAATACTGAATTGCATATTGCTATAGTTTGGCAAATGATTTAAATCCAGTTCAAATTTGTTAGTGTTTGACTTTATAATAATTTATTCTCTTTATATTTGGTCTTAAATATCTGAAAAATAAGAAATTGGAGTCACAGTCATTTTTTCTTTATGATGATCATATTTGGGGTGCTGACAAATAGAACAATAGGGTACTGAAAAACAATAGTTTTATACTATAAATATATTATAATTACATTCAATAACAAGGCAGAAGTGAGCACAGCTCACATACCCCCGCTTATAGTCTGATCGCCTTCAATACCATTATTGAATACCAAAATAAAATTTTAGGAAAACTTTCAATTTTGGCATCATGCAATTGAAAGCCAAAATCCACAATGGCACCATAAGGGTAAGTTCCATGCCAAATTTGAAGTTTGTAAGTGGTATAGTTTTTGAGTTATGCTCAGAGAAACCATTCCGGACGCAAGAACGCACGGACACACGGGCGGACGGGCGGAGTGCTATATACCAGCGACTACGTCGTAGCGGGGGTATAATAATGCAGCCATTCTTATTTCATACATGAATTCGGCTTTCAGATAAAACCAGCTCTCTCACTGCCAATGTATGAGTTTGAAATCGTGTCTTATTGTTATTGTTTAGATGTTCAATAAATAAATCAAACAGCACCTATTATACTTAAAATATGGCTATTACTGTAAACTAAATGTTACTGTATAGACTACACTGTAATGTCAATGTATGTTGTCAACTTACCGCTGATTCGAATCCATGTTGGCTGTTAATAACAGCCTGACTGCCTCTACTTTCACTTTTGAGTGACATGAATTAAAAAAATTTGGATTCTATCATTAGCGGTCAAAAAAATTTTTATCATGTTATTTTTCAACGTTACCAGAGGCTTGAATTTGTGTTTAATTCTCTATTATGGTCCCTAAAAAAATTCCAGCTTGTAATAATAGGGGGGGGGGGGGACATTCCTACGCCTATGTCAGGCACAGCCCTGTACCTTCCTCCGTCAGGACATGGCAGTGTAACCATTGGAGGTCAGATTAAATTAACCTCAGTCGAAATTTGACCCTCCAATCAAAATGCAGGATGCATCGGGTTTAGACCCAATTACGCGTCAGCTCTCGAAAAAGAACCGTCCTAATTGTTTCCAACGATTTAACGCTATCCGTTTTTATTTCTGCTGGATAGCCTGATTGCCAATTTCGGTCTAAACAAATTAAATACCATTCTTAATGAATGAAACGCGTAAACGACAAATTTAAAGTTTCGACAACGTTTTGAAGTCATTGTTGTTTTCCATTTGGAACTACAGAAATGCTGTATTTGCTGAAATCCTAATTCGCTCTCTCAAACAAAAAGTTCAAAACCCTCAAGGCTGTTTAGGTGATTAGAAAGTTCACCTCTGGAATGAGATAGTGACAGAGAGTGGTATAGAATAAAGGATCTGAGATTGGGGTTGAATGTAAGGTTTGATGCAGCTTCAAGAATACGATTTGCCAGAAATTTGACAGATATAAGTTTATTCAATTTTAAATTTCGGTCTCCACGCTCATACTAAAAAGTATTAGAATTTACTAAGTTAGTAAACAGTTTGGAAAATATCGACTTATTAGACAAGCAGGTGCCATGTCGTGTATTAGGAAATAATATTAACCAACGATTTAATAGTGCTTCTATCCATCCTTCAAAGAACTAGCTGTATTGGTTGTAAATTATACAAATTTAATTGGTCATATTTACTACTCGTCTCATAAGTAACCAACTGCAATGATTATTTCTAATATAATAAATATTTCTAAGCTTGTAGTTCATTGTCCTGATTGCGTTAACGCAGTCTGACGGCGTGAATGGTGCTACTACCGGATTGACCCGTTTGAATACTACATATGAAATTGATGGATTATGAATGTCTGGGGCGTACACAACTTTTTATACTTTATCCTAGTGTGTGTGTGGTGTTTGTGAGGCGGAGGAGCTGTGATTGTGTGGAAAACATGTAATTGTTCCATTGAAAAAAATATTCATGTATCAGACTTGAAACAAATTGTCTGCATCAAAAATACATCTTTGCATGATGTCTTCTTTTTAAAATGTGTTGTGTAAATTCATCAAAATGCCATCATGTTAGGTTGATACAGCCAGACAACATCTGGAACCCGTGAATACGCAACGATATGGGTTTAGGTATTGTTATAGTTGGAGACTGATTTCTGTCATCTACTTAAAGCTTGTGAAGTTCACATTATAACATATCGATGGACGTAGGCGCCTTCTTGGATTAGCATCTCTTCTCCTTGCTTAGAAATTGCCTCAATCATTTAGTATGAAAGATATGACCACGCCGCGTTGGGTCTCAACCATGAACACTCTACAACCTCAAGGATTATCTGTTGAGCTCGGTCTTCTTTCGTGATGGGATTGAAAGCGACGCCTCGTTGGGGTGTTAACGTTGTAAGGAGCTAATGCGTTGTAAGGAAAGCCGGTAAGTGGCAAGTGACCGGATGTTAAGATGGCGAGTCTCAGAGTAATCCGGTCCGGCTGAGATCTTCTAAATCCTGTCTGACCTCACGTCCACACTAACGTCACTTTGACCAACCGTAGCTTGTTGCATGAAAACCACTCCCGGACGTGGGTCAGTGTGAGTTATGTGGGTCACTGTGTTATTTATTGTTATAGCAGTGTTGCTTAGTTTTGTATAGTTGCGGTGGGGTAGTTTCGTGGTTAAAGCGTTTGCTCGTCACGCCGAAGGCCCGGGTTCGATTCCCACGTGGGTACAATGTGTGAAACCCTTTTCTGGTGTCTCCAGCCGTGATATTGCTGAAATATTGCTAAACGCGGCGTAAAACTAAACTCACTCACTAGTTTTGTATAGTCAGGTGACCAAACGACCAAGAAATCGATCACATTTTCTCATAATCGAACACAAACAATTTGGGAACTACTGTTTTAATGTTTGAAACACTCAACAATGGAACATATCTTAAAAGTTATCAGAGCCTGAAACATATTTAATTCTTAGAAAACTCACTTCACTTACTGAACAGTCATGACCGAATATTTCTTGCGGTTTATGTTCATGATATATTGCCACTTTAAAGTAGCAATTTGCATCATTTTACATTGGATGTGAAATTTGCGCAGTTTAAAAATAAAAGGAAAAAACAACAGAGCACTGTCTTATACTTATCTGCAATAAAAACCTGAATAGGAAAATCTGAAACATTACGCTAACCAATATTTTTCGATGATTGCTCGTTGGTAATGAACCAATTACCATTTGTGAGATTTCAACCAATTCCCAACACTACTTCATGGTCACCATATCAAAATGATCTCATGAAGTTCGTGATTATGCGAGTAACAGTTAGAAGTATTTGTACACAACATTTGAACGTAATATCATGTTCTGCGCAAAATCTCTGAAAAGACAGGGTGACATGGATTCAGCTGAAATCGGTATAAACCTGGTTTGCTTTTTCATTATAGATGATCTATACTAATCATTTAGTTGAGGTGAGGCGGCGGGTAGCCTCGTGGTTAAAGCGTTCGTTCGTCACGCCGAAGACCCGGGTTCAATTCCCTACAAAGGTACAATGTGTGAAGCCCATTTCTGGTGCCCCCCCCCCCCCCCCATGATATAGCTGGGATATTGCTAAATATCGGATTACCCTAATTTCACAGATGACACGTATCAGTGTTGCGAATATTGCAGAAAAACACTTGTTGGCCACGGACAGCAGACATAATATCAGATTTTCGTTAATAAGGACCCTTTGCATTGAGATTTCACATATATACGTCATTTTAGCTAAATACAGATCGTACCGTACAAGATCACCATTACACGTTAGACACAACGTTTCGTTCAGTCGATGTTTCCGTTACAATTCAGTGGGGCAGTCTTTGGTTTGTGTATTTTCAAGCCTCGTTATGTAGATATAAATAGCCGCCCTGGTTCTGTTCAATCAGAGATATCCCGAGGGAGGTGGATTGTTTACCACGGGGTTCCTGTAAAGTATATGTACTCAGTTTGTTAATTAACGTTTCTCTTGTTAAGAAAAGCGATACTTACATTGGCTCGGGGTAATTAATATCAGTGTCAGTTGGTAGGAATTTTTAGCCGTGGTAAAACGAAATTAGTTGGATGGTCTGTTGTTCAACGCCATACTCAGAAATATTCCAGCTATATGCCGGCGGTCTGTAAATATTAAAGATCACATAAACCCTAGAGGTTAAAAATACATAAATTACTAACTGGCATCGTTATAAATGAAACCCCGTCATTAAAACTACTCATTTCGACCTTTAATTGACTTAAATCGACCTTTT